AGTTATCATTTATAAGCATTAAGTAGACCAAATCTACAGCCATGAGACAACTAATAGCATCTACATAATGATGAAACTAAAGAGAAAAAATACTGTGCAAATTATTTCATGATTTTAAATCATCTGTAGAGAGTCTTTAGTTTGTTTTGTAAATACACAAAAGTTATCAAGTGGCTGGTAAGATAAAAATACTGTTCATACATTAATGAACTACATAAAATGTATGCATGACAAATAATACTTCAAACAAATCTATAATAATACTTAACACAAAAACATAGACTCCTTATCAACTTTAGAAAAAATATACTCTACTGAACTGACACATGTACTGGACATTTTCCATCGTCTCGTATTTGTTAATGAAGCACAATATTTTGGAAGTTCGCTCTGCTCCTGTTATCAGATAATCTCTATTCCTGATCTGGGGACAGAAAATAGCTCCATCTAATGGACCTAGCGGAGAAAGTTCCAAACTTTATCTATTGGCTGTAGCAGAATGTTGTGTTTATTGGACCAAAATAAGATGATGCAAAATGTTCGTGTCAGTTTAACAACATACCTTCATCACACACCTTTAAACTCGTCTAATACACTCCATGTCTCATCTTCTGACTAGCTGAATGAACATTCATCCACAATACCCACTTTCTAAATGAAGTCTTGAAATAAAGAGAACAAAGTAAATGTTGTTAATGGGCATGTTCCCAGCATTTTCACATATTTTCTTATGCTAATTGCTAGTACAGGATTTGGAAGAGCCATTAGAAACCTAAGAAACTTGATTTTCCAGAGGTGACTGTGAGAATTACTTCTGGAATTTGATGCCATGTAGTCTGTGTCCTGGATCTGGTCTTCCCATTCCTTATGTCTATACCATTTTTGTTACTCTCAGCTTACTCTTCTGCCCTGAAGAAGCAGGCAGAAGGTTATTCCAGAACGTTGCTAATGATCTCCCAGACTTCATGGCATCACATCTAGAAAACTATGATCTTTGTAGATGGATTTCTTTTTTAAATATTGGAGGTCTAACACACAATCATATAGATATTGAAGAATGCCATCTTCTGAGATGTGGCACCGTGTAGATATTGTGTTTACCAATGTTTTGGAGAAATGTATCGCCTCCATCTTCAGAGTAGAAGAAAGAAAATCCACGAGCTAGGAACCAGCGTGAGCAGTTGCTGACAGTCTCTCTCATGGTGGTTCCTCGCTTGCGGATTTTCTTTCTTCTACCCTGAAGATGGAGGCGATATGTTCCTCCGACATGTCGGTTAACACAATATCTACACGGCGCCACATCCCAGAAGACTGCTTTCTTCATAATTACCGCTGTGGAAACCTCAAATCTTACATACAGATATTGTTTGTTATCAAAGTTTGTTAAATTTGTCACATTTAGAAACTTATGAGGGGTCTTTTAGCCAAGATACTGAAGAGGCTTCAAACCCCCATTTCAGTTACAGTTCATAGATTTGAATTAAAAAAAGAATATCATAACAGGAAGAGAGACAAGAAATCCAGTTTCTAGCATTATCCACGTTCAAGTAACCCTTGCAAGATGTCAGCTGCTTTGTTTGCTTGAATTTGAAGCCTCATTTAAATTAAGTCTTCAGTTTACTTTACACAGTCAGTAGTACCTTACGGAGAAAAATACAGGACTTCACAATACATAAAACAGAATTCACTCAGGTATCATTAGGTGTGTGAATGACTGCTCTTGTCGTGGCAGTGAGATAGAGTTATTGCATTTGATTATATGCATACAGATAACGACAGCCTTCATATTAAGCAGTTTATCTTACATGTAGCCAGAGTCATATTAATGAGTACAGTCGTGTGAAATGCAATTGCATATTGTAACCAGTAAGTTACAGTTCATCCTAATATTATCCATGCCTAAAATATCTTTAGTTTGTTACATGTTGCTAGATCTCACATCAAACCCTTTGCAATTAGTGGAATACAGAAGATCACAGCATTTGAGTGAAGTCGCAAAGACATATCATTATACGTAGTGAGCAGATTTTGTTATATGTGCTTCAACTAAAAGTGAAATATCAGCCAACTGGTGAATTCTGATTTATTAAAGAGAAATGTTTACAACACGAGAGAGTTTATGACTTTGTAAGTGTGTTATATGTCTCTTATGTTGTCAGTTTAGTGCCATATATTTTTCGCATGTTTACACACAGAGATCCATGTTTGAAACTGAAGGATAGGATGTAACTTCATGAACTGTTTCAGCAGAAAGGAGGGAATGAGATAAAGGTATGAGAAAGAGAAGGGTGAAGGATGGAGATATGTAAGAAATTAATTTCAGTGGGCTCTTCCACTGGTGTCTACATAACAGAGGTTACAGATGATTTTAAAAGATACTTTTGTGGTAGACGTAATATACCTCTGTAAGGGAGATGTCTCGGCATACACTCCTTATTTTCCATCCTGCTGCTGGTATACATACAGTAACAGACAGCCAAGGAAGAACATATTGAATTATGTGTCTGTTGAAAGTTTTAAATCTTACATAAACTAAATACCATTGTAAGGGAATTCTTAACTAAATGTATTGACAATTTCAGTATGTTTTAAACTCTCCACTTGATCATTGCAGAATATGAAACTGAAGTACAGTTACAGCGCATTTCATGATAAACAAGTGCCTTACATTCTATTTTAGAGATAAAATTAAATTAATTACTCTTCTACGCTCCAAAACATTGGTAAGGATTTACCAGGCCACACGGCATCACATCCTAGAAGATGGTGATCTTCATATCCCTACCGTCTTTCACACGACATGATATGGGTGCTAATATCTACATATCATCGTCGTCTGTTTTCTTTGGTGACTTTGGTGATTTCAGCGATCACTAAGTTCATGCCTGTGTGTGGTGCAAATACATTTTGAGTCAGAGTGTTCAATTTCATGAAACTCAACTGGAAGACTGTTCCATTGCATGTCATCTTACAGTCACGAATGTTCACTTCTCTACAAATCCACACAGTTGTCGTACAGACTTTTGCGGTGGGAGCAGCAACAGATATATTCAATACATGAACCTGACATTTTGTATAGTGTGAATCTTTTTATAAACATGTAGGTTTTGTTAAGGTACTTATACCCCTGTTATACCAAGGCTACAGAAAGAAATCCCATGGATTGATCCTCTCCATATCTCCCTTGAGCTGTTATGCTTCTCCCTCCAGCATGCCTCCCAATACACCTTTCCAGTTGTACAGCCATCCTGTTCAGATGGGTCTTCACTAGTGACATGCACTTTGGGCTGTCCCCAAGGTGCTGGAGGGGAATGCAAGAGTAAGCAGAGTGGGGAGGCTTTCAAGCACACTCAGATATCCCCACCATCCATGGGACATCTTTCTGCTACTTCAGTATAGCTAGAGTGTCAGAAACAACTATGCAGGCAAAGATATAATGTTGAAGGTATGAACTGAGTTTGCAGGTTGTCTAGGGAACAATGCTTTGGTGCTGAGAATGTATAGCTGAGATTCTGAAGCAATGGAAACTTTGTACACGTGTGCCACTAATTATGTAGTTTATAAATTTTGTTACACTTTCTGTTGAGGTACAGTAAACCCTCACTAATCCGGATTAACTGCAGGGGAGGTCATCTAGATTAGTGAAGCAAAAGATAACCCTAGAAGACAAAAACAATAACTCAGAAAACAAATAAATGGAAAATTTAATGATATAACTAGTGCTGATGAAAATAAATAAAAAGATATCATTGTAGAGCCTTTAGTTAAAAACAATACATTTATTCATGGATAGAAGACCCTGAAGTTGCACTTGTTTTTAACGTAATAATGCAGGTTTGAAGAAACCGTAAAGTTTTGTCTGAACAGACAAGTGACGACTCATCTGCCTTCCTAAACGCCATTTATCTTTTAAATTATGTTCTACCCAACTGTGAATAGCATTTTTCATATTTTGGCCTGTATTATCCAACATCCAGATTAGCTGTAACCAGATTAGCGAGGGCTTACTGTAGTGTAATTTGAAGGAAGGTATGGGTTGTTAATTATAACCACACCTTCTTGTTATCCTTGTAAATGCATATGCTTTCTGTTTTCCCAAATTATATATATGGTTAGTTGTTATTTTCATGAACTGAAGCACTTGAAGCCATTTCACACTATTTGCAATAAGTTTTCTGATTATCTAGGCAAGCAGCTATAATCAGCATATTGATATATAATTTTATGAAGTCTGTAGTCATGCATTTACTAATGAGTCTATGTACTGGTTATTATTTAGCACTATTTATATGCATCAATAAGCACCTTTAAATTACATAATATTAATAGAAAATATGTACTGTGATATCCCCACTTAAGGCTTCTTTGGGGAGCAGTGGATCCGAACATTAAGCTGAGGGAATCCTTAGCTGTAGGACATTACAACATAGAGAGTGTTGACTTGGGGCCACTGAACTTGAACATTATCCAGGAAACCCCCTAATTTAAGGAACACCAAATGAGGATTCCACTGTAATAAATTACTAAATATTAATTTCCTGACCTACTTTCTTTAACATACCTTTTGTCAGTTAAATAGAAACGTAATGGTACCTCATTTCAGGCACTGTAAGTAACATCCACTGAAAATTAAATCATGAAAAATGTTTTAATTTTTAAGAATTAAGTACCCAAATTATCACTGAATGGTTTGTAATAATTAATTTTGTCTAAGTACTTAATTTAATCATCGAACCATTATCGAAGAGTTCTACAAATGATTCTTGATTATCTGCATTTGGATTATCCTGTTAACTCAGTGCTGTATACTATATAACTCAGTTGTAAAACAGCCGGGGTACGAAGCTGAACACTGACCTCCATCTAGTGTAGAAGGTTAAGACTGCATGGAGCTGTATCTCTGCTCCCCCACACACCCTGGCATGGTGCTTAGTTACTCCCTTTTACCTGTAGTCCAGTATCTATTTACAGATAATCAAAAGTCAGCTGTTCTGTGTCCCTCAACAGGGCTCAACAAAATGTGTGAAGGAACGACTTCTAACTCTAAATATGTAATGGCGATTTGCTGAATAGTGATGTAAATGTAAATGTTGCAATGAATCTGGATGACAAATGAGACCCAGGAACATGACCACCTGAAAGATAAGAACAGTGTCATTATAGCTCTGAAGTCGAGAGTGCAAGTCTCAACATGTCTGAACCTCTGTGATGTCCCTTTTTACTGCTGTTGCTGCTTTTCTAAAAGATCTTTGATGGTGCGTCATTATCAGATTGTGATGTAGATCATTACAAAATTTAAAAGTTTTCAACATATAGTGGGAACCAGAATCTCCATGCCAGAAATTTCATTGAACACATGGGACTTGCCTTCTGTAGCAGTTGCCTCTGCACTCAAGGTGTGATGTACTCTCGGGGATGTTTTAGACAAAACTAGTGTTAACACCCTTGAGAATTCAACGCAACGTGTTCTCATTTGCCATCTCGCACAGTCAGTCGCAAATCATGTTCTTTGTAAAGTATACTGCATGTCTCATATACTCGTACATGTCAAAATATTGTCAGTAGTCACAGACTCACAGGATACATTTAAACACAAGACTACTTACTCCTCATGAATGACTTAACACATAACTTGCGCTCCTGCAGTATGTTAACACTCGAAAGTTCATTGCTATGGTAACTGGAAATTGCACAATAATAATGATAAATTTCTCGCTTATAAAACTAGATTATTGTTGTTTTTGTTGTTTTTATGCTGATACTTCAGCTATAGATGCGCCACTGCACCAATCCTGGATGATAAATGAGAAATGGAGCAGTCGGTGACATGAGAATTGGCAGGGAAAACTGAAGTATTTGGATAAAACTTTCTCCAGTGCCACTGTGTGCACCACAAATCCCATATGAACTGATCTGGGATTGAACACAGGCCACCGTGATGAGCCTTGGAATCTTACACCATAAACTTGTCACATGGAGGTGAAAGGGATTGTGAACTGTATGTCTGCAGCTGTGAGAGCAGCGAGAGGAAGTTACTAGGATTTTGGAGCAGGAAGAGCGCACAATATAGGCAGCATTCGGCCTAGCCCAGTTAGGACAGTGACATTTCGTTCTTTTATTTGTTACATCATTAATGATGAGTCACTTGCAGAAATTTCAGGACATGCAAAAATGATTATAAATGTCATGGAGGGACTGAAGAAGGCCATGTAAGTACCAACTTACCATATCAGGTATCTGTCTAGGAGTCACATGTACAAAGCAGAAGTGCCACATCACAGCATTTCAAGTTTCAAGTTTTATACAAATAATAAACATTCACTTAGGATTATTTTAGTGAATTCTGGTTCTGCCAACTTGTATTCATTAACAGTTTATTGACACAGTTTTAATGGAATGCAAATTTATATTTCAGTGTAAGCAAAAATTAAGATTTACTTAGTTTAATTGATATAGCAAAAAGGTACAGGCTGGATGGCTGAGGAACTAAGGTTCGATTCCTGGTAGAAGCAAAAGATTTTTCTCTTCCCTACAGTATGCACATAGGATCTGAGAATATGTGGCTTGATACCTCCTCCCACTCCCTGATACATTCTCATAGCGTGGTGCTTAATTAATTAAAACAAGGAGCATCTTTATCTTACCTTTAAATATGGAAGTCACGCCATGCAAGATCTGTGTTCTGTGCGTGCGAAACCTTCCTAGGCACTACTGGATTTGTCACGCTCGATGTCCATTTCGAGGCTCCCTGACCCCCAGAGAACTCGGTTCCTTGTTACCGGGATAAGCCAGACCAATATTCCGGACACAACTATCCATATCCCGGCCATAAAGAACGACAGGTCCCAGCTTAGTGTGATGTCAAACATCAGTCCTGCGAGACACAAGTATGTACAGTCAGTTCTTTGAAATTAATAATGAAGCATTTACTTGCCCTTCCCATATCCTTTTATATACCGTGGAATATTCGCTCAAGGCAAGAACTGTGAAGTGAGCAGAGACAGCCGTTGATAGTGAACGGCTCTACAAACGCCCTTTGCTAGACAACATTTGTAATACGCAACAGAGGAGTTACTGGGAAGAGACGCTCTCTACCGCGATCCGCGCGATAGCTACGCGATGCAACAATGGAAGAATTGTTGGGAGAGGTGTTTTTATGCAGTCCGTGCCGAGACTATATAAAGAGGTCAGCTGCTCTGTTGCATAAGGAATCCCGTGTGGAGGCGGGGTCGAATACCTCCACCGTGGCCCTGCGAGTCGTAGGAGGCGAAGTCTCAAATCTGAGACAGTAAAATATGGTCGCGAGTCCCAAGGGACTCGGACCCGATAAAACTGCGCTGGCAAGGACCAGCAGCATGTACAAAAGGCAGACCCGTCCTCTCACCAGAGAGGGCGCCATACAAAAACAAGACTGTAACTGTCAAACAGTAATAAATATCTGGTTATGAGCCCCGCATAGGGCTCGACACCAGGACCTACTGACTGACTAACCGTCAGTCGCAATGCGACTTTGACTTGTTGCATAAGGACTATTATCACAAGGGCTCAGCTGAAAAAATCTCTGGCCGTGGGTCTCTAGGGGCTTGACGCCAGGACGAACTGATTGGCGGTATAGCGCCAGTCGTAAAGTAGCTCTGCCTCTGACAAGAGAGTCTTGATATGGCAGATAGAAGAGTGGGAGTTAGTTGTGAGACAGTCGCCGGCCAGTGAGGACCTGAACACGGAAACTGAGGAAGCTACAGCGTTTGAAGCCGTTACCAGGCGACAGCCGGTGAAAATACAGCAGACTGAGAAGACATCGTACGCGCTGTAGCTAGCTGCAGAGAATTCAATAAATACAATTACCAATCCAAACCGAAACTCAATCACGTGACAATATCTTGGGGGAAAGAAGAGCCAGTTGTGCGTCTCTGGAAGAAAAGAGTGCAGTGACACGAAACGTACCTCCAAGAGGGGGCCCCAGGAGGTTTCCGATGCCTTGGCACAGCAGAGTGAGGCCGTAAGCTGTTGTGAATCTCTCCAGAGGAATGAGTTGCACGAGTATGGGTGGCGTGAAGGAGAAACTGGACGCGAAGAACAGGCCGAACAGGGCCACTGTCGCGGTGAGCAGCCAGTAGCTCCGCACAAATATTGGCATCAGCAGTATAGTTATTCCACACAGCACCAGGTTTGCAGCGTACGCCTTTGTCACGTTCATCCACGGCTGGTCTCCGGCCCAACCCAAAAATATCTGTTGCAACAGGAAATAAGAATACCTTCATCAGTGTTCCGGCCCATTTTCCCATTACAGTACATTATGATCACATTACAGTGTTCTACAGATATGCTCAGGACAGTGTTTCGAGAGAGAGAGATAATGAGAACAGGGCTGACACATTCAGTCGCCGTTTCACCATGCACTGCAGATGGCCAGATAGTGTATACTTTTTGTGATTACTGTGTTCTTCGACTTTGTCAATCGTCAGGTGTTCACACCCTCCAGAATCTAAGCATGTTGCCTGGTCTTACGGCCACAGTGCAGACGCACCGGCCTCGGGTTTGTATTGCTGTCTCATTGGTAGTTACCAACGTTTCGGAGCAACCTTTCTAGCTCCATCTTGATGCCTGAAGTGTGTAATCGTAAAGTTGTCCCTGTGCTTAACTAACTAAGCACTACGCCATGAAGGCGTATGGGACAGTGGTTGTATAGATCCACCTATTCTTGATCTTGACACTAATTGGGCGTAAGCGGTCTGCTTCATGCCCCAGCCGCTTTACCCACGGGGAAAGAGCCCACCCGGTATCCATTGGATAGGAGGCTGGGTTAGCCCCCTATCGGGACTCGAACTCCAACCCCTCAGTCGTCCAGCCCGTAGCCAGTCGCTATACCGACCGCGCTACTGAAAAATCAAATGACCTCATCGGGAATCGAAGCCGCGACCTTCCGGTTTGTAGCAAATTGGCAAGGTGAGGGGGTAGAGAAAGGAAGTGGGTCTTAGCCAGTGCGAAGAAAGTGACAAAAGTCGTCATACCGGTTTATGGTCACGGGTGGAAGTGGAGCAGGGTGAGATCAGAAGGAAGGGGGACAGTGTGACGAGGACGGAACATGCTCGGCGGCATGGCCCAGAAGGCAATCTTACCATTCCCAAGAAGTTGCTGAAGCCGATGATGCTGAGAAGGGTTGAAGCCTCTTGCTCGGAATAGCCGTTTCGAACCATGATCTCTGCTAGGTAGAAGTAGGGGACGATAAACCACGTGAAGAGCAGGATCGTAGAGAGTGACATGAGGAGGAAGTGCCACTCCAGAAACATGGACACGTCCACCATGCCCTTCAGCAACTCCAGGATGTCCGCGTACCATTTCTGCATCAGACGAAACAGAACTTCGTTTTGGAAACAGATTGTGGTCCTCTGGTTTGTGACACTCTGTAGTCTTGTAGATGGATCCTGAAGATGGCGGCAGCATGTGCCTCGAAATCGTCGGTATCCACCTGCAGGGCGTCATAGCCCAGAGGCCACATGCCAGAATCTCATGCACCAATCATACCATAAGTAGGGCCCAAATTTTTTGAAGCTAGTCAACAAATTACCCGCCTTTTATGGAACCGGAAGGTTCAGAGAACTCACCACTGCCCTCTATCTCGAGCCACATGAATTCACTCCAAACCGTCATATCCTGTTTATGTTCCATTTTTGTATTATTCTCACATTCATACTGTGGTTTATATCCTTCAAGTTTTGTGGCTACAATTCTTTATGTATATTTAATTTATTATATTTTATTTATGGTTTATTTATCGAGGCTCTCTGTGGCTCAGTCTGTATCGCGTCTAATGGTGGGGGTTTTAATACTTAATCAATAGGAAAGGCAGTGTCGCCGGGCCTTTGACTAGAGGAACTGAGGAAAACCTCGATTAAATCTCTTATCAGAATAAATAGTTTCCGAACCGAGAATTGAATCTGACGCCTCCCAGAAAACGGAATCGTATCCTCTCGACCTCGACGTTTGGTGCGTAGTTCATCTCACATGCGTGGTACAGGCTCCGCCCATGCCGTCCTTAATCATCTTAATAATATCTGGCGAGAAGTACACGTTATGAAGCGCCTCGTTATGTAATGTTATCAGTCCTCGTATTACTTCGTCTCTCCCGATCTGACACCCACATATCCTCAGCCTCCGCGACGTAGCGCCTCAGTCCGGCCAGTGAGTCGCACAGGGGGAAGCGTGTCGGATACGGCACAAACAAGTAACGCCCTCAAATTGTCAGCCTCGACGAGGTAAATATTTATAGTCTGAGACAGTGACGCGGCAGTCTCTCTGGACATTAAGATTCCGTATTCGTTAGCCATTTAATGCCCTGTGGTAATTATGCGAACCAGCTGCTTGAACAAAACCCTCCATTCTGTTCACAGAGTGTATCTGTGTGTTCCGTATGGTTCTCACAGTAAACAGCATTAACCGGTTGGGCTCTGTAACGGTGACGTAATGTTTCCTGTGAGGTACGAACCGAATTTTTAAATGTAGCGCTATTGTTTAAATGAACTTAGGCTTTGGGTGGTAAGTTACTTAACGATGCTATGTAGCATCTGATGAGATGGGAAGATGATAATGAACGGTGAATAGAAAAGGCTTTGGAAGTAAACGGTCGCCTGGAGAGACTGTAAAATGCCATGAAAACCGTCTGGTACTGTGACCGGTAAATGAATCGGTTTTCGAACCCGCTACCTCAGAAATACAGGTCTTCAGCTACCCTGCTCGGCTGTTGCTTAATCCTCCATCTCAGTCTCCTTGATTCGATCGTCCTTATAATATTTAGAAATATGAACATTACGGATCCCCTCATTATGCAATTTTGTCCATCCTTACGTCTCCCCCCCCCTCCTTAGATGCACATATTCTCCTCAGCACTAAATTCCTTCCTTAACGTGAAAGACCAAGTTTGACATTCAGAGCATACAGTATATATATATATATATAGGAGGCGAGATGACAAAAGTCTGTCAACTCAATGTCAGCAAGTGTCAGTTAGTTAGTTAGTTATTGGAGAGGGTGGGTTTCCCCATGCACTTAGACCAGTATTGGTTCATTGTGCTTCCCTCTATGATATTCTACCAGTCTCTATACCCTACCGATACTAGTGCTTACCATCAGTTCCGACCAAGCCAGCGAGTTCGGCCTCTACTGGCTTAGCGGTATCTATAATGCTTCCCCCATCTATCAGAGGCGTTAGAGACTACTGTTGGGAGGGAAATGTCCTTGAATTTTGCTCACTGATCTCCTTAGGAGATATGAGGTTCTTTTACGTGCCGTAAAGCTACCACACGGGACCCACGGCTTAAAGTCCCTCCCGGAGGACTTGTTCCCTGAATTTTTCCGCCCTTAAAAATTCCACGACCTCCGCCGGGTTTGAACCCGCGTACTATGAGTCATGAGGTGGGAGCGTTACCTCTATACTACGGAGGCCGCTGTCAGCAAGTGTAACAACAGCAACAATGACAACAACATACAGAGAACAACCCTGACCTCCTCATTCTCCTTTGCGATGGTTGTCATGGAGTTGCGGTAAATGTCGGGACAGGACGAGGCCCTGAGGCGGTATTTATGGATGTTCAGCATGGCTCCTCGGTACATCACGGAGTTCCTGAAACACAGAAATCGCTGTAAAACAAAAGCACGTCATGTGACTGTCAACAAGTAGAGGAGGGTTGCCTGTAGAGGTTTATTTTGTGGCGCTCTGTCTTACAGTTCCGTTTGGTCTGGTTCGTTTGTACCGGAATTTCAGAGGAGCGTACTGCTTTCGTCTTCCACAATCTATGCTACAAGCAGGAAATGTCGCGGGTTCGATTCCCGATGAAGTCGTTGGATTTTTTTCGGTTGACCTAATCCTTCCATCCACACTATGGCCCTGGGGTCTACTCAGCCTTTTAACAGAAATGAGAACCGGGAATCTTCCTCGGGGGTGAAGGGCTGCCGGCGCAGAAGGCTGACAACCTCAACGCCATCTGTGAAACGACTGTCTAGAAAATGTGGGAGCCTCGGCGGCCTGCTACAGGGATAGCTTTAGCTTATCTGCCACAGAAGACGGTGTTACACCTCAGGCGTTCGCAGTCTAAACTATGGCCACCGTGTAAACCTCACCCAATAGAGGCGTTGCCGCCAGACAAACAGATGTTTCTATTAATTGGCTCACAACATATTTCGGCCCAAATAGGCGATCATCAGGTGATTCTTGAGGAGTACGCGAGCAGTGACACAGCTGCAATGCTACAATTGTGTTACTTAGAATTTGGTCGACTCGCGCTTCGTACTGTACACACATTAGATGTTAAAATAAAGGCTAGACACACGCATAATTAGATCGAAGCAATGCACGGGGAATATCCCTACAAAATGTGATCTTTGGACGTCTTTGAATTTGGCCTGATGCTGGTATGTGCCTGTTAAGTTGAGGGCGTTGCAGGAAATTCAGACCTCACGGCCATGAGTGCGCTAGGTTTTGTTCAGGCGTTTGTCATGTTCGGGATACACACAGGAAGCTGGAGGAAAATACATATTCAGGAACTTTATAATTTGTCATAAGATATTATTAGGGTGATGAGATGGGTATGAAAAGTGAATACAAGATTAATATTTCAAGATCTGAAGGGGGAAAATGACCCACGAAACCTAGGCATAGTAGGGAGGATAATATTAAAGGGGTTATATATATAAGAAATTGTGTGTGGGGGTGTTGGTGAATTCATCTGGCTTAGAATAGGGGCTACTTTCGGGCTTTTATGAACACTGTAATGAACTTTCGGGTTGCATGAATAGCGAAGAATGTCTGTTCCGGCTGAGCGACTGCCTTCTGGTTCGAGACTTAGCTCCAGAAAGTTAGTCGGCCTTTAAAGCACAGTGGTAACTATATGTACCACCTGGTGTAACGTCCTAGAACTCTGTATTTCTCCCACAGAAAGTCTTAATGCGTTTTTTGTGAGTCTCACAACAAGCAGTGGTTTTTATACCTATTCAGCGTGAAACGCGTCTGCTCTTTTTACAGGGACATTGGTTTTTCTGTGAGGTGGGAACGAGTTTAGATTAACTACAGGGTTCATCTTCTGAAACCCCGGGGAAGCTGTTCATGTTGGGCCCAGAAGAGAAGTCGGTTCGTGCCCGTTACTAATTATTTTCTTGGGGTGATGTCAGACCGAGTCCCCTTGGTACGTCGGCCATTATTTTGCCAGTTGTACCAGCCCGGATGATAGATGATGAGTGTGGAGCAGCCGGTGGAATGAGAATTGGCAGAGTAAACCCAAGTACTCGGAGAAAACCTGCCCCCGCGCCACATCGTCCACCACAAATCCCACATAACCTGACCTGAGTCCCTTCCATCACTAGTTAGTAGTAACGTTGCTATCCACCGAGGATGTTCTGTGTAAATGTTCTTGCAATGCGTGTGGCGTGCGGCCTCGTATTAATGTTAACTGAATGAATGGCACTATAGCCGGCGCCGCCTGCTTCAGAGCTGCACGCCACTGGCCACGGCCTGCAGCTCTTTCGCCACGTGTAGAATCGTGAAATCTGGGTTGTCAGAGTCTGGATTCGAGCGGATAATACCGAAATTTGTGAAAGCTTGGAATGAGTGTGACGTCCCTTAGGTAAACTGCATTGCTGGCAGGCAGGTTGTGCATGTGTAAGAGTCATTTTAAAATTAGAACATAAGCAAGCAGTCACACCGCCACAATCCGGATACACACGGTATTGTCTAGTGCCTACCGCACGTCGGGGTAATATTAGTTCGCCTCAACATCCTGACTGAGCCAACAGTCGCTCAGGTGGCCAGAAAGTCACCCGCATTGTACGAAGCCAAACGGTTCATCCCCGTGTTCACAACATCCGAGTGTTGTCTACAAGATATGTCAGGATGATAAGGGCTGCATATTTATTCAGTGTACTGAGGGAAAACTGATCTCTGCCCTGAGTTACATGAATCAAATCCATGCCTTCACACACTTCCTTGAATATCGCATTTAATATTATCCTCCCATCTACCCTTAGGTCTCCCAAGTGATCTGCTTGTCTGTGGGGTTTCGGACCAATATCGTACGTGCATTTCTCATCTCTCGGACGGGTGTTACATGTCTAACTCATCTCATACTCTTTAGAGTTTTTTTAATGATATGAAACGGAGAAAAATATCTCGAGCCGAACAGATAAAACGGCTGGAGCCATGAAGATGGTTTAATACAAGAAATGTGCAGAAAACGAGGCAGTGAATGTTCACATTGTCGTTGCATCCTGTAATGTGGTAATCGGATACGAACGTTTTGGAGATGCATGCGGCCTCCATATCCTATAGATGGTAGTAGTATTTTTATCCGAAACATCACTACCCGTAATCATAACTCAAATTAAAAAAGGCTGAAGAGTGCGAGGCTTTTCGGAGTGACGGAGCCGACGTGCTGGCTGCTTACGTTGTCAGAGTCGAACCTGAAGATAGACACAATATGCTACTCCGAAACCCTGATACTTTCTCTACGAAAGTGCACGGCGTCATAGTCACCGCCGTGAGAACCCCATCTCTTAGTTACCATGAGCGCCACCAAGACTTTTTTCCTTGTGGGGCGGGGATCCAGAGAAATTGCCTACAGACTTACGTTTAAACCGTTAGCGCCATTTCTACTCGTCACCCTGGACTGCTGAGTACAGAAGAATAATACTGTGGCATGTCTGTTGAAAGCTAAATTTGTGACATCCGTTGCTACGCAATGGCTCTGTAGTCGTCACATGACGGCCGAACACACACGCAACAACAGCAAAGTTAATGGAAAAGGAGAGTTTCTGTGCGGTCCGTGCCGAGGCTATATAACGAGGACCAGCTGTCATTACGGGGCAAAACTGAGACGGCAGTTAGAGGATTAGGAGGTTGGTGTGAGGTGGCCGCCAGCCTGCGAGGACGTGAGCCCTGGAGCAGAGGAACGTCCACTGTTTGGCGCCGCTACCAAGCAGCGCAGTGAAGACCACGAGCGAGATAGTCTGCGTGTGAATTGTAAATTGTAGCCGTGAGCTGCATGTTAAAGTGCCCAATAAATCCGATTACCAATCCAAACCTCGTCTATCGTCACTTATCACGTGACAATATTTCTTTCCTTTCTTCAATTCTGAACTTCCCCCCCCCCCAAATCGGGGGGTGGGGTGACACACGAGCCAGGTGTGTGGCGATGTGGCTGCTGTCTTACCTGTGGACACGAATATTCTTTAGGTAGTGTGGGGAAGCCTGACTTGCCGAGCACGCCTGCTTCTTCATTAGGGAGGGCACTGGCTCATGTCTGTCGTGCTTTCTTATTGATGACTTTGGTGATCTGCTGATGATTGCAATAGCCCTGTGATCATCTTGGTCATGTTTCTCGAGGAGAGGAGTGTCTATGTGATCTTCTGATTGGTGATGTCTGGTGTCGGCGTGTGACGTCGGGGGTTTAGTTGCCCTGATGGCCGCGACGGGCACCCGGGCAGGCAGCACGAAGCTCTCGGGGATGGCATTCAGCTTGCCGTTGTCACTGAGACTCCGGCACAACAAGAGGCTGGGGTAGTTCTCCAGGATCAGATTGTACACCCGTTTGCTGGAGCTCAGAGACTCGAGGACTTCCAGTGGCACCTGCGAGAGAACCAAACTTGTGCTGAGACACTACGGTTCGAGGCCCGTGGAGGACAAGAGAATGTATACGCAGGAAAATGATCACTTTGAAGATCCAGACGTAGGTAGTTCGAAATGCCTAGCACGTTGTTCATTTGAGGCTAAATTTTCCTTATTAAATTTGAATCTAGAAACCCACTTTTATATATTGCGGCATGTAGACCCGTTGCTAGGCAACGACAGCGGAACAAACAATTAGCCGCCCGCAAACAACAGAGGAATGGGGGTTTTTGTGCGGTCAGATGGGCAACAATTGAACTACAACAAAGCGGAGCGGTGTTCTCTACGCGGTTGGTGCCAAGATGTTATAGGTGGGACAAGTTAGGAGCTGCAGCCACCCTGAGAGTAGTAGGAGGCGACGAAAAGGAAAGTCTCAAATCTGAAAGTGTAAAGTATAGTCGCGAGTCCCAAGGGACTCGGATCCGAGAAAGACTGCGCTGGCAAGGGCCCGCAGCATATACAAAATACAGACACGTCCTCTCGTCAGAGGTCGCCCCCACAAAAACAAGACCGTAACTGTCAAACAGTAATAAATATCTGGTCATGAGCCCCAGATGCAGCTCGACACCAAGACTTACTGACTTACTGACCGTCAGTCGCAATGTGACTTTGACTTTGACTTTTGAACTGCAGTCAGTCAAGAGTAGGGGGTTGGTGAGGTGGTCAGAGGATTGCTGGGGCTCAGTTGTTCTGAGCCGTTGCTATGAGATGCTGGTGGCTGAGGCCGGGGACAGTTCGGGAACCCAGAGGAGGGGAACGTTCACTGTTGAAAGTCGCTACCAAGCAACGGCTAGTGAAGACAGAAGAATTTATGTGTGCTGTAGTTACAGTGATGTGTGGAGTGTGTAACTGAGCGAGACTGTCGCAGCTATTTGCAGTTACGAGTTGTTTGATTGTCCACTGAGTCCGATTACAAATCACGCGTCACAATTTTATTTACATGAATTTCAAGCTTCTGCCCGCTAAGCGATAACATAAATGTCTGTGTGAACTGGAAAGGATTTGGAAGGAAACTGTCATGGCGTAATGGAGGCACTGTCTCGACACATGTCTGGAGAGTGTGAGGAAAAGCACAAAACCCGTCGGCCTAGATGGATGGTCTCCTGGTCGGGAATTGAACGCGCGACCTTCCGAATGAGATGCAGGAGAGCTGCCCACTTGACTGCGCGTTCCGGGGACAGAATAATTGTCATAGCAAAAACAAACAAATTAAAACAGGAACGAACTGGCATGTTGGCAACACTTGATTGCTTTATTTGAGTTCAGTTACGTCATCATTTTCATTGCTGAAGCGACTCATGAGAACCAGCGGTAACCGGTCTCCCTTTGCCAATCTTTTTTATTTTCTCAGTTTATAAATTGAGAAGAAAGAACGAGGTCTGAGAGGCGGGTGCCATTACATGGTTCAGATAACGCACTTGTCAATATGGCCGTCGCCACGCGGGAAGAACCAGAACATTTGCTTAAGTCGTTTGCTGCAGGTGCCCTTGGCTGTCGGCATAACAGGAACGAATTAGAAATACACGCACTTTTATTTCTTATCTTTATGAATGCCAGCTCCTCGTCGATAAGGACACAATTATCTGCCGACTGTTCTGTGTGCATAGCGCCCAGCCAACTACAACTGGAGAAAACCAACTTAGCGTCTTACGTAATAATCCGACAGCGCCGAGGGTTTGTGAATTCACAGGTCAGGTCATGTGGGATTTATGGTGGGCAAAGTGGCACCGGGGCAGATTTGCTCAGAATACTTCGGTTTCCCCTGCCAATTCTCATTCCACCGACTGCTCCACACTCATCATCTATCATCCTGGGCTGGTACAGTAGGCTAATTAGTGGCCGACGTACCAAGTGGACTCAGTCTCGCCCAAGGAAACTGTACTAGCTGAATTAGGGCCCAAACATAGAAAACGCAGTTGTTAGCGCGCACTACCACCTGCTTAAACCGCAAAAATGTTGCATTCAGCCCAGGCGGCGTACTTGTGTTTCGTGTGATACTGGAAATAAACAGCGGTCCTCTCGGATCTGAAGAGTGCTGTCTTCTGGCATGTGACGCCATGTAGTTAAATATGTTATCAGATACTTCGGAGCAACCCACTGCATCCATCTTCAGGGTTAAAAATGCTGTTTGCTTCTTATTACATTTCATAAATTGGGCCCTAAGGATTGAATCAGCAGGTTCCTCCGAAACATTAGTGAATTTATGCAGAACTACACGGCGTCACATCTCAGAAGGCATTTCTCTTCATTCAGTGATAGTTCCGTAAACAACATTAACAGGTTTGTCTATACATATATTGTACGTAATCAATATGCCGTTTACTCACTGTAGGTTAAATACAAGTAGTTCCCGGCAGAACTCAACAAAAGTTACTTCCCTACTACACAAATTTCCAGCCCTACAAACCTGTCACTATTATTATAGTCACTTCAGTTTATTTTTGAAGAGCTCGCTTACTTCTTACGTTCAAATCCTGCAGGATATAGCCTCATCATTTCGCATAGTCGCCACACTTGTAATTCCTGACTCGAAAACAACATATCACACATAAGATCTACCTCCATGCCAAATTTGACGTGCCTAGTCACAGTATTTGGTTAGTTAGTGCCATCAAACCGCACAGCCACCTTGTTGTCTGGTAGCCGGAGTAGCGCAGTTCGTATAGCGACTGCGCTACGGGCTGGACTACCTAGGGGTCAGAGTTCGAGTCCCGGTGGGGGCAAGAATTTTCATTTCTCCATGTCGTCCAGATCGGCTCTGGGGCTCGCCCAGCCTCCTATACAATGAGTACCGGGGGTCAGGCGGTCGGGGCGTGAAGCTGACCACTCACCTCCAGCTAGTGCCGAGGTCAAGAAAATGTGGGCATATACATCCACTCCCCCATACGCTTTCATGACGTAGTGCTTAATTAGTAAAGCACAGGGACGACTTTGCCTTTCACCGTATTGTCATCTTACATCTCCCAAAAGCAAATGCCAGAAGAAATGCTGTGTATGTTTTCCTGAAGATATGTTATCGTACGTCATTTCAAACCCTGAATTTAGTGCTGCTCCCGCCTCACGAGTTCGTTAGCGTAACAGTAACCTGTTCGCCTTTTACGGAGGTGCTCAGTTGAGCTGTCGGCTGAGACAGTCTATTCTTGCTGGTTTGTTAGCCTCTCTAGGTGGACGCCGGGAGAGCACCTGCATTCTGCCATGACTGCTTCCTTCTAAACCCTCTCCAATTCACCTGAATTCTGCCATGACTGCTTCCTTCCAAACCCTCTCCAATTCACCTGCATTCTGCCATGGCTGCTTCCTTCCAAACCCTCTCCAATTCACCTGAATTCTCCCATGACTGCTTCCTTCCAAACTCTTTCCAATTTACCTGGATTCTGCCACGACTGCTTCCTTCCAAACGCTCTCCAATTCACCTGCATTCTGCCATGGCTGCTTCCTTCCAAACCCTCTCCAATTCACCTGGATTCTGCCATAGCTGCTTCCTTTCAAACCCTCTCAAATTCACCTGCATTCTGTCGTGACTGCTTCCTTCCAAACCCTCTCCAATTCACCTGAATTCTCCCATGACTGCTTCCTTCCAAACCCTCTCCAATTTACCTGGATTCTGCCACGACTGCTTCCTTCCAAACCCTCTCAAATTCACCTGGATTCTGCCATAGCTGCTTCTTTCCAAATCCTCTCAAATTCACCTGGATTCTGCCACGACTGCTTCCTTCCAAACCCTCTCAAATTCACCTGGATTCTGCCATAGCTGCTTCCTTCCAAATCCTCTCAAATTCACCTGGATTCTGCCATGACTGCTTCCTTCCAAACCCTCTAAAATTCACCTGGATTCTGCCACGACTTCTTCCAAATCCTCTTCGAATCATCGGTCATCATATCATTCGGCGCTGTATAGCCCAGATACCGATAGCGCCATAAAACAACAAATAAATATACTCACCCGCTCGCGCGTCTGCCATGTTCTTATTTTACGTTGTACGGTGACTTCGCCGTAGCAAATGCATGTTTTGCATACCACGTACATTACTTCAGAAGCCCAGGTTTGGCATCGTTCCGACCAAACGAGTTCGCGTGCCCGCCATTATTGTTACTAATTGTAGACAATTAAAAGTACAGCACAGCTCGTTTGCTACAGTTGCTGATAAAGCTACGTACTCACCTTTTCCTTCTGACGTATAAAAGTTGGCAGATTGATCACCGATCTGGATGACGTGACATGTTCGACGTCAGTGGATGATGTGACATCTTGTGACGGCACCGGGGTGTTACCGGCGAGTGTTGTGAGCAGATACTCCGGTGTCTGGCCACTCTTGAGCAACTTCCGAATTTCCTCGACACCTGGGAAGTCACTGTCAGCCCCACTTCTTCCGGAGATGGAGCCGCATGAAGATGTTCCTCTGGCGGATTTGTTGCCTAGACTCGCTAATTTGTTCTGCTCCTGGACCCACCAATCCGGGTCTCTCATTACTGCGCCACACACGCACATGTTAAAGAACGTCCCTGCCAGCAAGAGAACTGTTCCACGCCAGCCGTATTCCTCAATGAAGTACTGTGTCATCGGTGCATACACGACGGTGCCTGCACCAGTCCCACACGCTCCGAGCCCTGTAGCCAGAGCCCTCTTCTTGTCAAACCAGTACGCGATGGATACCACCGCAGTGACGTAACATAGCCCTAAACCCAGACCTGCTATGACCCCAAACGTAGTGTACATGAGTTCGATGCTGTTGACAAAGGCACTCATTGTGAAGCCGATTCCAGAAACGATTCCTCCGATGATTGTCATTTTCCTGCAGCCGTACCGATCGACCAGCGAACTGCCAATAGGGCCGGAGAGGAGAGGCACAGCCATGAAGAGACTCCCGATCCAAGAAGTCTTACTCTTACTCTCGCCGAAGTGCTCAAGAAACTTGATATACAGTAAACCAAAGGAAAAGCTAATACCGTCAGCAATCATACTGATTATAAATGACGCCAAGACGACGACCCACCCCCAACCGCCGTCAGGTATTTTATTCGTCTTCTCCTCGTCATTCCCCGACTCGCTGCTGCATATGGAGTCTGCTTCAGATTCGGCGTCTTTATCGTCACCTTCGTTGTCCCGGAATTTGATAACGACATTATCACAGATAGGATTCTCGGTTATAACTGTTCTTATGGGAGATTTCCCTACGGGAAGGACATCACCGTTCTTGACAGGTGGAGGAGGAGAGGAACTGGCGTTTTGTTGTCTGGCTGTTTGCCGCGATTCTGCAGAAGATGTAGACGGGCACAAGGCTGACGGTTCACATCCGATGCTGGACAGAGTCGGGGAGAAATCGTTGGAGCTGAAGCTTACAGTTCTGGTAGGAGAGTCTGGACCAATGCCGCTGCTGGCTACAGACTTGTTCTGAGGCGAGGTTGGTGTTTCATCCGTTCCCGCAGGTGTTTTTGGTGTCACTGCTGGGCTTAAACTTGGTGAATCGTTGCTCCATCCCAAGATTGGTGCAAGGCCTCCAGCGTTTCTTCGTGGAAGTGGTTCCATCTCAGTGTATTCAAAGTGCTGCTGTGCTGGTTGTCTGATGCCTCACGTACGGGTGTGTATATTGCGTGGTGTTGAAAGCGTATATTGCCAAAGTGTATTCCTTTAATTTCTGCGATGAACAGTCACTGAAAAAATTATTAAACTTATTCAAATGTGGAACGTATTCCTAATTGGCGAGTTCACTTAGTGACAAGAAGCGAGCAAGTGTTTGCACTCCATTCATTCTGTTGTACTATGCCTATTATTCAACGTATTAATTAGAGCAGTCTCTAAATTACAGCACTAATGTGGGGGAATAATACAGTCTGAGTCCATCTTCGTGGCCACCCTTGCAGATCTAACGGGAACTGATAATGATATCTGTTCAGATGTGCCAATGTTTTCGTACCCTCTCTGGTCGTATCAGAGTCAACGATTAAACTGTGACTTCTTGACGTAAGATTATGAAGATTATACGGACGCTGCTGCTTCAGTGTCTTCGAACGTATGCCACCGAAATTTCTCATCAATGACCGGTTGGCACGTTGTAACAAATGGCACGACGAAAGCAGAAGGCGCTTCTGAGTTCCCGTAGCTCTGGGTTTGTCGTTGTCGTTGTTGCTATGACGACGGAAGCACGCGTTTCTTGAGATGACTGGAGGCCAGCTGATGCACTTCTGGAGCTCTGACGACCCCAGCGCTCCCTGAGGTAAGAGGACGGCTGCTGCTGTGTATCTGCTAGACCACGGACACACCATACGTCAGAGTGCAACTTCTGAAACAAAAGAGAAGCTCTTATGCGTCATTTGGTACCTCCGAGTGTTCAGAATCGGGAGAACTGTGACAAGTCGTTATTAGAAGAGGCAACAACTTGTTGAACTGTTCTGTAATATTTATTATAGTTGCACAGTATACACCGACGCACTTCGGTTTGAAGAACTGAAGAATAATAACAATAGTGAACTCTGTAACACCTTGAACGTTGTGTTGAACCGCAACTCTGAACTGGAACTCGTAAACTTCAAAGTCACAATGCGACTGACGGTCAGTCAGTCAGTCAATCTTGGTGTTGAGCCCAGTCTACTATAAACTTCCAGGTCAAAGTCACATTGCGACTGACGGTCATCTTATATAACCTTGAGTCGGCGGACCTATAGAAAACATGTCACTGTCCGTTTTGTTGCAAGCTTTGCCTAGCATCGGCTGTTTACTCAGCCTTTACTAGGAAGCGAATGATTTCTAGCTTGCGATTGGCTAGCACTCGATCCATTGTGGGTGCTTCCCATAGTCACATATTGTTGTAGACCTTACATAGCAACGACGGTTTACTCGCCGTTGCTAAGCACTGGTATCTGAGCTGTCGCTGTAACGTTTGCTTGAATGTGGGCAGTGCTCACAGAACTTATGGCCGAAGTGGGGGGGGGGTGCACATGTCGCCTGTGAGGAATGCGTGAGACCTCGACACTTGCAAGCATGAAGAGCGACAGACAAATGGATCCTGCTCTGAAGGTCCTCGGGCAGTGCCCACTTGTCCTGGCGAAGCTACAGAAGTTGACTGGCCTCGATCTGAATTCTGATGGTAGCATTCGGTAACATGTTCATGTTGGTGCTGGGGAGGACTGCATACCAACTCAGAATTGGTTCTCTGTCTACAACAATTCAGTTGCTACCTCACACCAGACACTGCCTCCTTTCCATGACGAAGAATAATCACTGTTTACAGGGTTCGCGATAGAGCGCCATTGGTAGCGACATGTCCGTCGGTATCAAAGGGCCGCTGAGTGCGGGCCACGGCTTGGGTTCGAAACTTGTCCGGGACTTGCAGTAGAGTCAGGGCGCTAACACAGCATGCCATCTGCCTGTTCTGGAAGGAGACATTTCCGAGCGGAAGCCATGTAGCCCGCTTTTATGTTGCAGGTGAATGGTAGGACGATAGATGAACTGGAAAGGACTTCAAAGGATGCGATGGTGACCAAATCGAGGTATTGTCTCGGCATTTGCCTCGAGAGTCTGAGCAAAACCACGAAAGTCTCGGTCAGGATAGCCTGTGTTCCGGCAAAGATTCGAACCAGCATCTCCTGAATTCAAGTGTACAACGCTACAGGTACAGATGGACACAGACTTGGCATCGTAACGTGTCGATAATGCAACCTGATGAGGGTTGGCTGTGACTGGCATTATCTTGCGCGTCTTGTGATTGGTACACCCTCTCTACGCTGTGTCGTTCCAATTGGGATTTGCGATACCTCCAGTCACAGAATGCGTCCCTCACCCGTCACTGAAACTCATCAAAGTGAACTATGAATATCTTGGCTAGCTGAGGGACTGACAGCTTCTAGGGCAGGAAAGCAACATCCTTTCTACTGTACCTGAAGCAGGTAACTTTCAGTTGAAATTTGAAATTCTCATGGCGTTGAAATCGGAGCCTGGAATTCGACATGTCGTGAAATAAGACCTCGAGGCGTATTCTTGTGACGTCACTTTACTCGTATTACCCAACGACGTAACTGTAACACAAAATGTTGAGCAAGTCGTCTCACGCTCGTATTCGGGGGCGCCGGTTTCGAATCTCTAAGTATTCTCCAGTCCCCTCAGGCAAATTCCAGGATATTACCTTGATTGGGTCATGACTGCTTCCTTCCAAATCCTTTCCAATTCATTATTTATGAATCATTTAGATATTGAAGGCGTTCGCAACTTCCTATGTACATATATAAGGAAGTGACGTAACGGTAAGATGGTATCTCTGGCAATACGCAATTTCGGCTTACATAGTAACGAACTGTCGAGCTTCAGTACACTGCATGAGCGTGAGTCATGTCGTTGGTCACGAAAGAGCGTGTAGTCTCTTGTTGATTCAGTGTGTCGCGTCTTTTACGTGAAACTTTGGCTGAGGTTATGTGAAGTATAATGCACTTCACAAAGGAGACCGTTTACGGTTTACTACTATTTGTTCGTATTATTCGTGGGAGATGCCGTCACACATCGGCCTCGATGCTTCATTCGATAATGTGTTGGACTACACAGGAATGCGACGGATAACAGGTGAAGTTAATAGCACTGAAGCTTATATAACAAAGCTGAGGCTTCCCATTCAATTCTCAAAGAGTGTTGCACTACAATAACTCACAAAAATGGCGATATAAAAATAGCCCGTGTTTTTGTCGTGATGTAACGTAAGGGCTTTCACCTTTGCCCCATCTGAATTATATTAGTGTTTTAACAACAAAGCAAGCCATACTAGTTCTACAGGGTGTCTACAATGAGACGCCCTGATTTTATCGTATTCTCAGGAAGTAAGTAATAGAGATATGGCCTAATTGTTGACAAATATCAGTAACACAGAGCACAAAGTTTAGTTTAAGAAATCAGTACACTTCCACGCGAGCTCAGTTCGTGACACGTAGGGTATCTCTTCTGCAATCGAGGGCCGCCCAGGTCCTCTGCAACATGGAACCGACAACTTCCACAATCCCAGGAGGTCTCCAAGGTCTCGGACTTTATTGACGCAGCCCCACACGGCGTGAAGTCAGGAGAACGTCGAGGCCAATCCGTCGGACCACCTCATCCACCCAACTGCCTGGAAACGTTGGATTCAGAGCTCGCCGTACGTCTAGCGGCCAGTGGGGTGGAGCACCATCTGAGGAGAGGCATGCCCATGTACGAGTCTTCTGCGCATGTTGCACATGACGCCACACCAAACGTTCGCTTTCGGGCTGTCTCGCGCATGCTCCATGACGCTGTGCGTTTCCTGTGATCCCAATATCCGAACGCTATGCCTGTTTGCAGCACCAGAGACATGAAAAGTGGCCTCGTCAAGAACTTGATGTTTGTTAGAAAGCTGGGGCCTCTGCCGATTGGGTCAGGAATGTGACAGGCCACGGGTTGTCCTCTGGCTTCCGCCCCTGTAGAATCTGCAGTTCCTGTGAAGCCCGACGACTTCGGACGGTCTCTACCTTCTCGTCGGAGACGCGTTATCAGCCTCCCCCGCGCCCTTTGAAGACACTCCCAGTCTCCAGAAACTTGTTGTGCCATGCTTTAATCCTCTTTACGTCTAGTGCACGACGAAACTCCCTTTGCAGCGTCACAACGGGCTTCAACTCAGAGACCCACAGAACAACTCGCGCCTTCTCCTGAGCTGACGCCATCTTTGTGTGAAAGGACAACAGCGCCCCAACGGTGGCCCGTGAGGTAACCTAAAAATTTAGGCGGGAATTTGAACCCCTGTAGTATGTAGGAGACCCTTAACACATGAAAGAAACATTTGCCTATTTTCAAAACATCTTCAAAATCAGGGCGTTTCATTGTAGACACCCTGTACCTTGTAATCCTTCTCTGCCTCGCCAGACCGTCGGCAGAACGCACGATGGTGACTTCGCGATGGATGTTAACAAGTTTTCTGCGGCACTGTGCAATGACGTCACAGTTACTGGCCCCTGACACACCACCAATCAATAGCAAGGCCGAAGCTGTTACGTCATTGCGTTGCTATGGCTACGTAACGATGCTGCCAAAATGAAAGGTTATTTAACGACGGCTTCTGTAGCTCAGAATACTGAGAGTCTAAAAATAAGATTTATCTGGACTGACTGGGAAAGCTCACGAAAAATTCCAGTCGGGGTACCCGGTCCCAGGCCGAGACTTAAACCCGGGACTTCCCGAATGTCATGTTTTTTTTTTTAATTATAATTTGGATGTTTCCTTAAATGGAGGATCGGCCCATCGGAGTCCGCTACTTCCACAACAGGAACATACATGAACGGAAAGGTGTTGGAACCGATGATACCAGTTTGTCACCATTCTGGAGGGCAGACATGGCTACTGATCTTGCAGAGGAGCTTGCAAGCAGTGTGAAAGGGCTGCATGACAGCCAGTGCATTCTGCATATCTGCTCTGGTTAAACAGCTTGTAACATGAACTGTCTAGCCAGATACAGCGTTATCAAATTATATCACGCTGTCATAATACGTCCAGCGTTAAGAATGTAGTACAAGACTGACGGTCAAATGACGATATACGTACAAAGTCGCTTTCAGAAGAACTTCAGGAATGTGCGCATTGCGTAACGTGTTTATGGTGCAAAGTCTGTTTTTAATTGCCTCGAAAATATGCATCGGCAATAAAATGCGTTTCATTCCTCTTTACAACTTTTGTCCGAAACATGTTTCGTTCCGACTAACATTTCGTGAGTTACGGCAGAGATGGACGCAGAAACGCGTGTAGGTCTTAATGTGAAGTGTTCGTTATTGTTGCTCGATTCTAGAAGAAGATTCAAACATTTCGAAAAATTCCGATCTCAATTTTTTACACGCGGACACGATGACACACATGCCGAAGAAAACTGGCCCTTCTCGTTGCTAACGCGCCCACCTCGAGTCACAGATCGCTGTATTGTTACTACTCAAAGGGCAATAAATCCGAGAGGGAACAAACGGGCTGAGGTTCGCGCTGTTTATACCAGTGGCGCAGCAACGTCACTTCCGATGTGACGTGAAATTATCGTTAAGATCCCGCTCTCCCTTTGTTTCAGTCCTGCCGTCTTCAGCGACAAGAAATGCCGATATTCATGGACAGGAACGCCCAGTTATGATGACCTATGAGTCCCGCAATCTGTTGTCCCTCGGAGTATGTTGCTGTTTGTCTGATGTCACTCTTAGATATTGCACTTCGTAAAGTTTCCAGTCACGTTCATGTAGCTAAATGTCCCGTATGGTTGCCTCACGCTCTCCCGTGCAGACAGTGGCGAGAAGGCCTGGCCCTTCCCAATCAGAATAG